AGGATGATGAAGACGAGGACGAAGACGGCGACCTGTCCAAGTACGACCTGAACGCGAGCGACGAGGAAGACAAACCGGCGAAGAAGAAGGGCAGCCGGTCCGGTTCGTCGCGCTCGTCGTCACGCTCCTCCAGCTCCAGTTCTCGGTCGAGGTCCAGGTAAAAGGGTACAGGTCAAGGGTAACTCCGGGCAAAATGTCAGTATCAGCTTCAAACTTCTTCTGATTTACTGATCCACATCAATCGAATGTTTGTTCTGATTTGTTGTGTTCCCTCCTCTTCACACTCCTCCCCACCTAACGTCAGACTGAATCGTTCCTCCTGCCGGGTTCTCGGGTGTCTTTGACAGCGATGCTTTCTTTATTAATGTAGTTTGGGTTTATTTTGAAATGACTGATTAACAGGCTGATATGAGATGAAGTGTAGTCGGTTTGTTTCCTTTCAGTTTAGACAATTATTATGATCCAGTCATGCTGTACATATATTTAGTTGGATAATTCCATATAAAATCAACCAAAGCTGGAAAAAGTTCTCCTCAGAAGATCTGGTTCTGTATCTGCAGTACCTTTATCTAATGACCAGCGTTCTACCTTCAGACTGTGAATATTCCAGAGTTCCAGGTCCTTGAAGTCCATAGAGGAGGGTCCAGATTTATCACTTTAATGGACTTTTTCCATCATTTCTGAGCCTCAGAACTTCATCAGTACAGCAGATAGACACATGACATTTAGGAGGAAGAACACATCTGAGTTCTGGTAGAAACTGACACCAGATCACGTCTCTTCTGGAGGTTAAATGATCCTTTTACTGCCTAGAACTTGTTCTGACCAATCACCATAACACATGAGTCTGGAAAGTTTACCCAGAATGCACTTTTCAAAGTTTCCTCCATATCATGATGCTGCCACCTCTGTGCTTCACTGTCATGACTATACATTCACTGTGGTAGTCCTGGTCAGAGGAGACACAGAACCAGACGCAAATTGCACTTTTAAAACTATGATACATCCCATAATACTGATGCTACCAGCTGCTTACAGAGGACATGAACAGAAACGAGATCCAGTGTTCAGACTGTGACACCTGGATGGATGTAGAATTCAGCCTAAACCTTGCTGTGTCAATTTTGCCCTTTTGTTGGTGGTTTTGCATCTTTTTTTGCAGTAATTTCAGGGTATTTTTGCCTATTTTTGAGTTGATTTAGTGTCTTTTTGTGGCAGTTTTGGTCCTTTTGGAGTGATATTACATCTTTTTGTGCCAATTTTGCCCATTTTTGTGGTGATTTTCTGTATTTTTGTGTTTAAAAAAAGACAGATGTAGCCTTCAGACTGTGACACCTGCATGGATGTAGAACTGATCTGGTGTCAGTTTTTAACAACACTCTGCACTAAAGTCACTGTAGATAAAGAAGCAGATGATTCTGAGGAGGAACTGGTCTTTGAATGACCTAAATAGCTTAAACATGTAATAAATTGTCCCAGTAATGCTGCAGGTAGGAGTAGTGAAGGTGTTTCTCAGTTTAACAGGACGTCTGTGCGTTGCCACAGTAACCAGTCGCTGTCATTGGGAAAATATTGGAAAGGTCTTCTGTTTTTTGTCTTTCAGGTCCCGCTCTAGAAGCTCTTCCAGCTCCAGATCTGGATCTCGCTCGAGGTCCCACTCCAGGTGAATGAGGTGACATGCACTCTCTCCCTGCAGGGAGTGTATGTGTTGGCACAAAGCTCCAGAACATCCTATTCTATCCGCTCGCTCAGGCTGCTTTAATCTGAACCCATAAGGCAAACTCAGGCTGCAGCCACTTGGTTAAAGTCAGGATTTTACATCAGGCCTGAGAGTTTAAGTAGCACAAAGTTTGATTAGAGTTTTGACATCTGGGGTCTTCATCAAGCATCTCTCAGGAGAGGTTCTGGTTCTGCTCTCTGACTTAATGTGACCGGATTGAAGTGAAGCTAAATGTTTTGATCCATTTTGAGAAGCTTCCAGCAGCACCTCTGAGCACCATCAGTCCGTAGTAGCTAACCAGAGAAGCTTGATAAATGCCCACCCTGCTGAGACCCTGCCTCGGCCGTACTGACCTCGCTGCTTGGTTTATTCCTCCACAAGATCCAGCTCCAGGTCTGGGAAGGGCTCCTCTCCCCAGAAGAGGTCCCGCTCGCCCTCCTCCTCACCGGAGAGGAGACCGAAGCGAAGTCGCTCCAGGTCCTCATCTGGAGGCAGGAAACGGAGGCGATCTCGATCACGTTCGTCCGAAAGGTTTGGGTTTCTGTGGAATACCACAATGGCACTGATTGTTGTTAGGCAGCTGTGGCCTCGCTTATGGGAGCTCAGATTTACACAAACATGTTCACACGCTGTTACGATGCTGCTCACATCTCTGTACGCTGTAAAAACAGACTGATAAACGTAATTAAATGTAGTTTTTGTGTTTATAATCAACAAATGAATTTTAATTAGCTTAATTTATGCTGAGACAGAATAAAACAATCTACCTTTAGTTAAGTTCAGTTAAATGTGGCTACTCAAAAGTTAGTATTTAGATTAAATTAATTACTGAAAATGAGTTGGTCCAACCTTTAGAAACAAGTTGGATCAACCTGAATAAATTACGCTGACTGGACACAGGTAGATTAAGTTGGACCAATTAGTTCATCTTGTGGCGATACTTTACATAATTAAGTTCATTTAAAGAGTTAGTTTTTTGGGAGCAGTTAAATGTAGTTATTAGTTAGAACTAAGTGTCTTGGAGCAGCTTTAATTACTCTGGTTGAATCAACTTAAGTCACTCGTGCGACTTTAATAATTTAGTTTGCTCAACCTGATTCAGTTAAGTAGGACGTTAGAAATACGTTGATTCAACTCGAATAAATGACACTGGCTTGACACATAAGTTGCTCCAACAGAGTTGGTCGATGCTGAAAGAAATCTGTTTAATCATGTAGAAATACTTTCCATTATTTATTTAAAGTTATTTTTTAACTGCGGTTAAATATGGTCACACTCAAAATGTATTATTAATTAAATCACAGAAAGTATTTCCATGTGATTGATGACTTTCAGTATTAAGCTGCTTCGTTTACTTGAATCGAATCAACTTAATTTACTCATTTAATCTTCAACACTGTAAAATGAGTTGGACCAACTAGATTAAATGAGTTGGAAACACTGAGAGAAAACTATTTAATAAGGTGGAAATACTTTACAGGATTTAATCAGGTTCATTCAAAGAGTGCAATTTATTATAGTGTCATTAAGAAGATATTGGCGCTAATTAAATAAAGTTTTTTAAGTGATTAAACAGCTTCCTTTCAGCATTAGGCACTACCGTTGAACCAGCTTCATTTACGAGAGTGAAATGAGTTAATCTGATTAAATGTAGTCGGAACCAACCCTCAGATAAATGTTGAGTCAACACAAGAGCATGAAGCTGCTCAAACAGCTGGATGATGCTGAAAGAAACCGTTTAGTTACCCTGAAACACTGCTTTACATAATGACATTAATTCAAAGGTCGCACTCAAAACTTGTTTTTATGAAGTTGATCTAATCTTAGAATCGTGGCTTTGAACAAGTCCGTTGGATCGTCTTCAGTTAAGAGTGAAGTTACACAAACCTGTTGAATTAAACTGAACCCAACTGTTAGAAGTACAGTCGTCCTCACATGTATTCAATGGCTCCCATTAAAGAAGGAAGAAAACAGCTTCAGTCACTGAAATAAGCTGAAATTGACAAAAGTTATAATAAATAAACATTTAATGGACATCATAACGTTGCTTTTGAATTGTGGTTCAACAGAAATATTTAAAAAAACAAGCAAACAAGCATGATGGGACCCGTAAACTAATATTTAGTTGAACAACCCTTTGAGCCGATCACTGCCATCAGGTGTGTTCTCTTTCTTTCTTTTTTTTTTTTTAATCATTCTTTCCAACCACAATTCAAAAGCAACGTCTGATTTCACTGAATTATAATTTAACAAATTTTTATTTATTATTACTTTTTTCAGTTTCTTGTTATTTGAGTGATTGTTGTGAGTTTTGCCTTTTCTTTAATGGAATGGGATGAATACATCTAAGGAAGACTGTAAGTTCGATCAACTTCAATATGTTGATTCAACACCAGCTGCTCCAAAAGAAACCGTTTAACAGTCTGGAAACACTTTCTGTGCTTGATTCTTTGAGTTCAGTTAAACATGGTCACGGTCTGAAGTTGTTATTTAGATGAAGTTAATGAAACATGACAGTATTACTTTAAATAGCCGTCAGACCCGACACCTAGAATTAACTGGAATCATCACTCACAAATAATGACTCCACAAATGTAGCTGCTCCTAAACGATTGGTCGACGCCGACAGGAAGTCGTTTTTAGTTCCACCTGATAGATTGGGTCAGAACCAACCCTTGGAAATGCCTCTAATGAGCTGCATCGACTCCACCAGACTAGATTAAGTCGGACCAGCTGGTTACCGGTGACAGAAAGCTGCCGAGTGGCTTTGTGCTAGTTTAACCAATCAGAACGTGTTTGAGTCAAACTGTGGTGTTTCTTCTGACTGCTCTGCTTCATGTTTTGCTCGGCTGAGCGCCGCTGTCCCGATCCGGCTGACCTCCTCCTTCTTCCCCTGGTGTTTTATTTCATTTCAGGCGCCGCGGCCAGTCGTCCGGATCCTCCCATTCTGGCTCCAGTTCAAAAAAGAAATAACTTTATTAGGGCCTTTTAAAAAAAAAAAAAAAGAAAGAAAGAAAGAAAAACCCAGACAAAAAGGAATCTTAGTAGAAGTGCATGTTGTGTTGCAGAGGAACACCAACCGCATCCCTTCAGTCTGCTGTTCATTTCATACAACCTCCAAAAGTCTTACTTCCCTCAGAGATAAAAAAAAAAAAAGAGATAAAAGAAGCAACATGACTTCTCCCTTTTTAAAAACACACCCGACCTGTGATAAGTGTTTGTGATTATCGGTGTCCAAGATACATAAATGTTTGGTCCCAGATCAGAACCTGTGAAGAGGCTGCGACCCGTTTCCTCCGTTCTGCTTCATGTCCACCAGGAGAGGCGTTTAGTTTCACTCACATGTGGGGGGATTGGAGCAAAACAACACCAGACATAGTGTTTGTTTTACTTTAAAGAAAAAAAAAAAAAAAAAGAATTCATTCTTTTATTTTTTAACCACAAACGAGAACACATGAGATGTAGCTGTGAGATTTGGCCTTTTTTTTTTTCTTTACTTTTCTTGGTAAATTTTTGTTTTTGGGGGGTTTTCAAGGTAAGTATTTTACTTTTTGATGTTTCTTGTTTTCACTAAATGGCAGCGAGTTCTTTGGTTTTACTGTATTTGGGTTTTTTTTGTTTTGTTTTTGTTTTTTTTGTCCTCACACGATCGTGGCCTGTCTCGGCACCGCTGTACCGAACTTCTTCCTCTTCATTCGTCACTTAAGACGCAAATGAGCTCGATGAGTTTTTTTGTTTGTTTGTTTTTTTTTTTTTTTTTTTAACTTTTCTGCTCCAGTTTTAGTGCGACGAGAGTAACAAACATTTATGGTGAAATGTGGCAGTTAGAGTCTTTTTATCGGTTAAACAACTAAAATGTTAACGTGTAAATAAAATCCTGTCGACATTGACTCCTGGTAATGCTGTGTTTGATTTGAGTGTTCAGAGAAACCGGAGCACAGGTTCAGCGTTAAATCTGGTTTGTACAGACGTTTTTATTACTATATGAAGACTCCTCTACAGAAAAAAGTCTATTAATAGAATACAAACCTTAGATTAACAAATGAACAGAATATTTTAAAAATGATAAAAGATAAAAATGTAGAAATATGCTGAGAAATAAATAAAAATAAGCTCTAATTCTTGTACCTGGTGCTGCACTGGAGAAGAACTGCAGTAAAGTGAAATTTAGAATTTAAAAATACTTTGAATTTGAAATTTTAGGCTGTTTTTGCTTCCATAACTTGTTTTTTTAAAAAGCAAAAGTGGCAAAAAAAATCATCCAAAATCCACTTTTAGGTGTTTATTTTATTGCACTCTGTCTATTTTAGATGAATCCTCATTTACATAAACATAAATAAACAAAAAGAAAAGCGTCTTAATGTAACTGAACAACTGGTTATTCGAGGTAATGTGATAAATTCATTGTGATATTTAACATTTTCACCTAGAAATTGTGGATTCTATTGAACTTTAAGTTGACTTTTTCCTACTAATCTGAATTCTCCACCTCAGCAGAACTTACTGAAGGGTTTTGTTCACTTACAGCCTGATTTATGGAAGATTTTGTTCCTTAAAATGCTGCTAAATGTCATAGTTTTGCCTTTCGATTGATCTTTGTGGAGTCATCAAATGAGAGATCCCACATCCCCTCATTAATAAGTGATATTTAGGCAAAATGAAACAGGAAGTTTAGGACGAAATTCATCCAAAGTTCACATTTCAGTTGTAGAAATTGATGCAAATGTGTTCAGATTTAACGAGATGCTGCCTCGTTGGCATGTTTATGTGTAAAATTGATCCAAACTCGTCAGAAGTTTGATCTAATTAGAGAAGTTTCATGGTGGTATCGGTTAAAATGCTCCTTTAAATGTGTAAACAGTTTAGATTTGGCCTTTTATAAGAGGAGAAATGTATAAAACAGACCCTTAGTCAGACGGTCTCACCTCAGCAGCAGGTTTGCAGTGATTTAAAACCTCTGACTCGATGATTTATTCTGATTCTCTGCTGGTTCTGAGCTTCAGTCCCTGGTTTTGGTCAACAGGTGGCAGCTGATCTGCTGCTCTTAATTAAAACCCATTCAGCTCAGCGTTACGGCCCATAAATTAATGACACCACGCGTTTATGATGCTAAACAGCAGCGATTATATTTAACAAGAACAGATTTAACGGTGTGCAGAGTCTGATTAAAGTTTACACAGTCTGACTGCAGAGATAAACGGTCGGCCGGCGACGCTGAGCAGCTCCACGTCTCCTAAAACACTGAAGTGAATCCTGATCCCAGCACTTCATTAAATGCATGTTTACAGAAAAAAACGCTGATTTAGATCAAACTTAAAGGTCGCAAACGTTAAGTTGACGAGTCCTGTTGTCATTTAAACTCCAATTTTTGCGTTAATTCGTCTAAAACTAAAGTCAAGTTGAGGTGAAAGAATCAAATCGGCTCCATAATTTAAATCTAGAATAGAATTAAATGGAATAGATCTTCATTGTACAACTAATAAAAGCAGTTTAGCTTCTTTTTTCACTTTGAATTCAAGATTTCTAGTAAGAAGCTTTCTGAAGATTCCTGAAAGCTTCAGGACACAGCAGCTGGACTTTAAGGTTCTAGAACAAGTTCCACCTTCATCCAAGTGGGTTCTGCAACTTCTTCAAGAACCTGAAAGAGAAGAAAGTCCAGCTGCTGCTTACTGTCTGAGAATCCACACAGACCAGCTGGACTTCTGGTTTTAATCCTTGAAGCTGGGAACGTTCCCACAGCATTGGCTAACGTTATCTACAAGTTCTAGTAATGTTTTAAGGTTCTAAGAAGAGACGAGACAGAACCTTTTAACGTTCAGAGGGTGGTTCATAGACAGAGTTTTTGTTTTTGTGCTTTAAAGAAGTTCTGCAAAATGCTAGTGATAAGCTTTTTTTTTTTTTTTTTTTTTTAAAGTTCCCAGAACGTTCTTATAACAACAAGACGTTCTAAACATGTTCTTAGTAAAACTTTTTCCAAATGTTGGTTTCAGAACAACCTTCTGTGGAAACTTCCTCCAAACGTCCTCTGAACGTTGCAGCTCAACAACTTTAGCACCAAACGTTTTTCACCTAACGTTGTTGGAACATTTTTAAAAGTTTAACATGTACATTGATGCCTTTTTTCTGAGATTTTACTGCTTATTAGTTGTAAATGAACAAAACAGAGAAAATGTGTAAAATAACAGCAGTTTTCTTCAAAACAAATCTCAGTTTTAAACAGTTTTTAAGCTCCTTGTTTCCAGAGCAGCTGATTGGACGAAGCTAAAATGTTTTTAAGAACCAAAGAGTCCAATTGGTTGAAGCTCTGAGGATTAACATGACTGAGGATCTACAGTTAAATCTTTCTTGTCATTGTACAGCTAATAAAAGCTTCTTTTTTCACTTTGAATTCAAGATTTCAGCTAAGAGTAACAGGATAGTTTAAGACTGTCAGAGGCTGAAGAGATGTGATAGAGAACATTTCAGTTTCATTTCTTTAACTTTGTGCAAAAGCAATGAATTTGGGAATGTTCTGATGTCACCTGGAAGCCTTGAGTTTAGATGGAAAACTTGTTAATAATTACATTAAGTCCCATTTAGAAGTGGCTTTTAAATACTGTGGAAAAACAACGACTTTATTAACTCGTAATCTTGTGTTAAATCAGTCAGTAATTAAAAATTCCTGCGGCTTAGTTTGTTGGTCGAACGTAATTTAATTTGTCACAACAGCATTGAGACAAACTGTTTTGTTCAAGTGCAGCCGACTGAGTTCAGTGAACACCAACGCGTCATATATTCAGACATCACAGGAAGATGAAACTTTATTTATAAAGAACTTTTATTTGTACCGATGACAAATGATGCAAAAGTTAATTTCCTAAAATCAGATTTTCTCCTCTGCTTCTGCTTTTATTAATTTCTACAAAACAATAATCATGTTTGTGCTCAACAGGAAAAAATATGTCAACAGTTTGCATCAATCTTTGGGTTCAGACTTTTATTTCCAACCAACAAAGTCCAGAGTTACAGGAATCAACCTTTCCTCTTAAATATACTTTTTATTTCTTGTAAAGTCGTCCCCAGTGGTTCTTCTGTGTTATTTAAGAGTAATTTAAAGGTGTTCTGTATTTAATTACCATAATTCTGAACACATGCTTCTAATTTTTTTCATATTTTTGAAATTCAGTGACTCCAATGTTCTATCAACTTAAATGTAAAACTAAATTAACAGATAAATAATGCAGAAATATGACTTCAGATTACACACAAGTATATTTTATTTTTTAACTATTTAATGACTTGCAGCATAAACACAAGTCTTTAAGTTTATTATTATTTTTCTTCCTTTCTTTCTTTTAAATTTTTTAACTACATACTTGAAGTTGGAATCAATTAATTTTAAGTGTTATGTGCTGAGATACCATAAATATGAACAGTGTTTAGACTGACACACTTTTATTTTATTTTATTTTAAGTTGCTCCAGTCAGATCTGCTTCAGTAGCTTCTGGATGTTTTTTCATGCAGCAGCTTTTAGGAAAATAATTTGTTGTTGTTGACATATTTCACATTGTAGTTGTGTATCAACACTTTATTGTCAAAACAACTCATTAAAAAATAATGTTTGCAACTTTAAAGGTTTATTTAAATTAGTAACTTAACATTTTTATCTTGTAAACATGCATTTAATTAACATTTTCTGATTTTCTAATCACCTTGTTCGGATGGATTTTGCTTCATTAGTCGAAATAAAATGCAGAAACTCTCCCAGAACGAAGACCTCCTACAGAAGCTGGCTTCATTACTCGGTTCATGTCCAGCTCTCGCCGCCTCCGCTGTGCTCCTCCTGGGCGCGCGCTGGTCCCGCCTCCAGCGCTTAAAGTCTGGACGCGCTTTTACGCAGCGCAGTCAGTTGGAGCGGTTCGGAGCAGGATGGAGCTGGACGGGTTCACACGGAGCCTCGGCTGTATATGAGCTTCTACCTCCGGAGAGGATGAGTGCGGACAGCTGCGGTTCTCCAGAGGACTCCGGAACCAGCTTTGGAGCGATGCTGGGCTCCAACGTGTCCAAGACGTTGCGCGAAAGCAACGCGACCAAGAACTCCAGCTGCCGGTCCGTGTCCGTGGGCTTCCCCATCACCATGATGGTCACCGGGATGGTGGGGAACGCTCTGGCTCTGCTGCTGGTCTACATCTCCTACAGGAAGAAGGAGAACAAGAGGAAGAAGTCCTTCCTGCTGTGCATCGGCTCTCTGGCGCTCACGGACCTGTTCGGGCAGCTCCTCACCAGTCCCATCGTGATCTCGGTGTACCGAGCGGACCTGAAGTGGGAACGAATCGACCCCTCTGGGAAGTTGTGCGCTTTCTTCGGCGTGTGCATGACAACTTTTGGCCTGTGCGCGCTCTTCCTGGCCAGCGCCATGGCCATAGAACGAGCCATGGCGATCACCAACCCGCACTGGTACTCCAACCACATGAAGACCAGCGTCACCAAGCAGACCCTGGCCGTCATCTGGGGCCTGGTGCTGCTCTTCGCCCTGCTGCCCATCGCCGGAGTCGGGAAGTACACGCGCCAGTGGCCCGGGACCTGGTGCTTCATCAGCACCGGGGACAGCAAGACGCCCGGGAACAAGTTCTTCGCCACCACCTTCGCCGTTCTCGGGATTTTCTCTCTGCTGGTGACGCTCTCCTGCAACGTGGTGACGATCCGGGGTTTGATCCTCCGCTGCAAGACCAAGTCGGGCGCGTCGCAGGCGTCCCGGCAGTGGGAGCGGCTCACCACGGAGACCGTCATCCAGCTGCTGGGCATCATGTGCGTCCTGCTCATCTGCTGGTCGCCGCTGCTGGTACGTCCTGCTGGAATAACCCAGAATTCATACCAAAAGATTCTTGAAAGCTTCAGGACACAGCAGCTGGACTTCTCTTTAAGGTTCTAGAAGAAGTTCCACCTTCATCCAAGTGGGTTCTGCAACATCTTCAAGAACCTGAAAGAGAAGAAAGTCCAGCTGCTGCTTACTGTCTGAGAATCCACACAGACCAGCTGGACTTTTGGTTTTAATTACTGAAGCTGGGAACGTTCCCACAGCATTGGCTAACGTTGTCTACAAGTTCTAGTAATGTTTTAAGGTTCTAAGAAGAGACGAGACAGAACCTTTTAACATTCAGAGGATGGTTCCCAGACAGAGTTTTTATTCACATGCTTTAAAAAAGTTCTGTAAAATTCTAGTGATAAGCTCTTTTTAAAAAATTTATTAGTACCCAGAATGTTCTTATAACGTTCTCTAAAGATGTTCTAAACATGTTCTTAGTAAAACTTTTCCAAATGTTGGTTTTAGAACAATCGTCTGTGGAAACATTCTCCAACCATCCTCTGAATGTTGCAGGTCAGCAACATTAGCACCAAATGTTTTTCACCTAACGTTCTTGAAACACTTTTTAAAAGTTCAACATGTATATTTATACCAGTTTTTTGGCTATTAGTTGTAAATTAACAGAACAGAGAAAATGTATAAAATAACAGCAGTTTTCTTTAAAACAAATCTCAGTTTAAAACAATTTTCACAAAAATCCTTGAAGCTGGGAACGTTTCCACAACATTGGCTAACGTTATCTACAAGTTATAGTAATGTTTTAATTTCTAAGAAGAGACGAGACAGAACCTTTTAACACTCAGAGGATGGTTCCCAGACAGAGTTTTTATTCACATGCTTTGAAAAAGTTCTGCAAAATTCTAGTGATAAGCTCTTTTTTAAAAAATGTATTAGTTCCCAGAACGTTCTTATAACATTCTCTAAAGACGTTCTAAACATATTCTTAGCAAAACTTTTTCAAATGTTGGTTTCAGAGCGACCGTCTGTGGAAACGTCCTCTAAACATTCTCTGAACGTTGCAGCTCAACAACTTTAGCACCAAACGTTTTCACCTAATGTTCTTGAAACGTTTTTTAAAGTTTAACATGTGTATTGATCCGTGTTTCCAGAGTAGCTGGGGGCTGGGATGGAGGTAAAACGTTTTTTAGAAACAAAGCGAGTCCAGTTGGTTGAAGCTCTGAGGATCTACACAGCTTCATGCTGAAGCTTTCTTCATGTCACTGAGGACGTGATGCAGGACGTCGGACACTTTCCTGTTTCCACTCAACCATCCGATCACTCACCTCTCCGTTATTGCTCTGCCTCAGATTCATGCTGTCATGTATGATTCCTTTAAAACGCTGCTGCCATCCTCCATTAAGGTGTAATCCATTTAGAGTCCTGCTCTGTGAGCTTCTGCTGCTCGCTGCCATGAGGTCATGCACATGTCTGACAGGCCGCAGAGGATATTAATAGAAGCTGCAGCTGCATGACATGTTGTATATAAAGGAGGCTGCGCACAAAGTCAGAAAAATGGAAAATCAATCAGAGTGTCTCCCCCCAAGACCTCCTCAGAACATCTGGTTCTGTATCTGCAGTACCTTTATCTACTGACCAGAGTTCTACCTTCAGACTGTGAATATTCCAGAGTTCCAGGTCCTTGAAGTCCATAGAGGAGGGTCCAGATTTATCACTTTAATGGACTTTTTCCATCATTTCTGAGCCTCAGAACTTCATCAGTACAGCAGATAGACACATGACATTTAGGAGGAAGAACACATCTGAGTTCTGGTAGAAACTGACACCAGATCAGTTCTACATCCATCCAGGTGACACAGTGTAAAGACTACAACTGGTTTCAGAAATTTTAAATATTTTTTAGCACAAAAATACAGAGAATCATCACAAAAATGGGCAAAATTGGCACAAAAAAGATGTAATATCACCCCAAAGGGACCAAAATTACCACAGAAGGATGTAAAACCACCAACAAAAGAGCAAAATTGACACAGCAAGGTTTAGGCTGAATTCTACATTCATCCAGGTGTCCCAGTCTGAACACTGGATCTGGTTTCTGTTCATGTCCTCTGTAAACAGTTGGTAGCGTCAGTATTATGGGATGTCTCATAGTGTGAACAGTCAGACTGCAGCAGTTTAATGTCTATGACACAGAGTCATAGAAACAATCATTGGTACCCTGGATGTGTTTCTGGTTTCTGATCATTTACTAGAGGAAACTTTACAAAGTGCATTCTGGGTAAACTTTCCAGGCTCATATCAGCATGTGTGATGGTGGTTGGTCAGAACAAGTTCTAGACAATGGAAGGACCGTTTTACCTCCAGAACCTACCAGGACCATCTGTAGACAGGATTAATAATTTTTTAACAGTCAAAAACTGTAAATGTTAAGATTCAGCTCGCTCAGAGTGAACACCATGACAGTGTGTGAGCTCGACACATGCATACGACACGTACAAAGGTTTGGTTTGAGAATTCAATTTCCACCTCATGCTGATGTGAAGAGCGACATGTTCAGGCTTGATCATCATAATGTCATGGAAACAGTGTTTCCAAGATTCAAGATTCAAGGTCTTTATTGGTCACGAACACAGTTATACACGGTGTAACGCGCAGTGAAATACTTTGCGTACTTGTTCCACACCGAAACAATATTAAGCGATGAATAAAAATAAGAATGTATAGAATAGAATAGAATGGAATGGAATGGAATAGAATAGAATAAAACTTTATTGATCCCTTCGGTATAAAGCCTCAGGGAAATTGCTACACCAGAAAAAACAACACAACACCAACACACAAGAAATAAAAATATATACGAATATATATATATATAGGGGAGAGAGAAAAAGGGATAAAAAAAAATAAGCAAAATAAATAAATCAAATTTTCAAACATTGCAAAAGGAGATGGAATAAATAAAGAAAATAATACTATATACATGTATAAATACAAGGTGCAGCGTGACCAGTTGAGTGGTCTATTGAGTCTATTGTTTGAGGTTCAGCAGACGGACAGCTTCTGGGATGAAGCTCCTCCTCATCCTCTCTGTGTTTGCCTTCAGGCAGCGGTAACGCCGCCCTGATGGCAGCAGAGAGAACAGTCTGTGTCTGGGGAGGGTGTGCTCGCTCACAAGCTTCCTGGCCTTTAACCTTCCCAGCTGGTCATCACGAACATGTGAAGCTCAGCTGCTGCCAGAAGTCAGTCTGAGAACAATGCGGAGAATCGACACCCAAGAGGATGGAACCAGAACCAGAACTGAACTCTATCAGGGGAGAATCTAAAGACTGTCAACAAGCTCTGAATGCTGCAGTGAGGTTCAACTGTTCTATAAAACATGTGAACACCAAAGTAGTCTCTGCATTTCAGCAGAGTTCGAATATGAACATGTCTAAAGAGTTTCTCCTCAGAGTGAATCCTGTCTACAGATGGTTCTGGTGTGTTCTGGAGGTAAAGCGGTCCTTCCATTGTCTAGACCTTATTCTGACCAACCACCATCACGCATGCTGATAGAACTCTGGTCAGTAGATGGAGGTACTGCAGATACAGAACCAGATGTTCTGAGGAGTTCAGTTTTGGTTTCTTGTGCCCGTCCTCTCTCAGTCAGTCGGTGTTTGTTCAGTTCTTCTAAAAAAACTTTCTTAAAGAGACATTTACACAAATTCTCTAGAAGCTACTTTCACTTCTGTCCTCGTCTTCCCTCCAGGTGCTGATGCTGAGGATGATCTCCACCCAGGTCTCCTCCCACGAATGCAACTCCACGTTGGTCGCCCCCGTCAACGGCACCAGCCGGGACCTCCAGCTGGACTGCAACTTCTTCCTCACGGCGATCCGCATGGCCTCCCTGAACCAGATCCTGGACCCGTGGGTCTACCTGCTGCTCAGGGAGATCCTGCTGCGGAAGTTCTGCATCATGGCCAACGCCGTGTCCAACTGCTCTCTGGAGGACGGGAAGGAGTCGCCGACGGCTCTGGATGCTCTGAACAAGCAGAATCAGGAGAGCAAGGACCTCTGCAAACCTCAGAGCAACTGAGGCCGTCTGCGGCTGCAACTCTGTGGCTGGAAATGAAAATGGAGGGAAAGAAAAAACAAAAAAAAAAGTGAGAGACTGGGATGGATTTCTGTCTGGATATTGTGCGACAGGAGACAGCGGAGCCTCTGTTGTGGTGTAAATGAAACCCGGCCGACTCTGCTCTGAGCATCTGTTGAATCCTAACCAGCATGTGGACGCATGACCGGGTCGCCTCGCGGCCGGGAACTCTCTCACCGCCATCCTCCAGTTCAACAAACTACTTCTCCAGACTCTAGACGTGACCAGAGTGAAGGAGCTGCATCGCTGCTGTCTGAAGCCATAAGCTCAACTCCACCACGTTTCTGTGAATGTAATCTAAGGAAGAAGCTGTAAATCTAAGCTTACATTAGGTTGTAAATATCTCTGACATTGTTCCAAAAAAAAAAAAAAAAAGCGGACGAGGATGATGCTCATTCTAAGCCGGTTGTTGTTTGTACGATTATTTATTTGTGAATCCTGAGCTGAATGCTGACGACGCTCCCTGCTGGGGATCGGTTCCTGTAAATCCGACCAGAGGCGGCCAGGAAATGTGAAGCAGTTTCCCTCCTGAATATGAATTCTGCTAAATTACTGTGTGGGGTTTTTATTTCTCAGCAATTTTCTTCTAAAATATCTGCGAGGCCAAAGTGTGGAGTTGTGAGGAAGAGGACTGTAGCTGTGGGATGATGGATGGATGGATCAGGGCTGGAGCTGCCAAAGTATCAGTGAGCGATCACTGCCAGCTCCACTGGACTCAAAGTATTTATGATGGAAGTTCACACCAGGCAATGACAAGTACGACTACTTTCGGGAGCCAAAGCTTTTTGAGATTAAAAAAAAAAGATGATTGGTGTGAATTCTGACTGGTTACGTCAATAAAAGAAGAGAGTCGAGATCTTTGAGGCTAATTATTGGAGATGAA